CACTTAGAAAGTTGCACATCAGAGATAAGATGTCACCTCCAGGCAAGCTTCCTAAGGGTGGGAATTGGCTCTCTAGCAAGGCACTCAGCTAGAGGACAGTTAGAAATGGGAAAATGCCAACCTGTGGCACACACATTCCTTAGAATAAAAAAAGGAACATGCAAACTGAGATAACAAGGTGTGGAGCTGGATGAACACAGCAGGCCAGGCAGCAGAGGAGCAGGAAAGCTGAAATTTCGGGTCTGGACCCTTCTGAAACGTCAACCTTCCTGCTCCTCTGATGCTGCTTGGCCTGCTGTGTTCATCCAGCTCTACACTTTGTTAACTCAGACTCCAGCATCGGCAGTTCCTACTATCCCCAACATGCAAACTGATTTCTTTTTCAAAATCATTGGCAACCTGTGAACTCAGAAACATTACAGGTTAAGGAAATGCTACAGGGCTATTTCAGAGGACAGTGGACAGTCTCCGATGTGACCTTCTGGCTGAAGAATCTCCCCATCAGCTAACTAGACTTGTACAGCACTATAACAATAAAATGAAAGTAAAAAAGTTTTGATTGTGATTCTACATTAAGTAACAACCTCCCCCAGCAGCAACTGTATCAAATAAACTTGCAAACTGAGTTAGTGACAGTGAGCATTTACAGTAAAAGGGAGAGATAGGGACTATACTATTAAGTGGTATAATATTTTAATTTTTGGGCTGAACTGAATAGAGCACATAAAAAACCTTTAGTTTTTAAGAATTGGCAATCATGCTAAGGAACTCTCAAGATAGTCACTGTACAAGATTTTCCTTGAGCAAATTAAAAAGTCAACAGCAATAAATTGTGAACTATGGTGCCAAAAATGCCATTTCTCCTTTTCCATTAAGTAGGCAGTGTACATTTTGCATGAACTAATTTATCTATGCTGATAAGGGAAGTCAAGAACAGATACAATGTTCAAGAGCGGAGGTAAATTCAACCTTGTATAAAGACACCATGATGTCACAGGCCAAACATCAAAGATTGAGCTGTACAATTGATTGCACATACAACGTGGAATTAAATCACTGCTGGTCATATTCTTAGACACTTCATTCACTATTTAATCAAGGACTTGGCCTGCTTATTTTTAAGTGAACTTTTGTTGGGACCATTCCATATTTAGCAACTGGTTGGAGTCATACCCAGTACAAAAGGAAGGAGGTTGTGGTAGCCGGAGGTCAGTCACCTCTAGGGAATCCAGGGCAATCCCTGCAGAGTTCTTCATGATAGTGTCCTAGGCCCAAACTGTTTCAGCTATTTCAATGACCTACCTTCTATCACACGGTCAGAAATAGACATGCTTGCAGATGATTGCATGAGGCTTGGCTTCATTTGCAATTCCTCAGATAATGAAGCAGTCCATATCCAAATGCAACAAGATCTGGATGATATCCAGGTTTGGGCTGATAAGTGGCAAATATCATCCACAGGACACAAATGAGAGACGGTCATCTTAACAATTACCTCTTGACATTCATTCAATGACATTATCACTGCTCGAACCCCGCCACCATTGGTGTCCTGGGGATTACCATTAGTCCAGTTCAGTTTCTGCTCAGCCATATAAACACAGCAGCTACCAGTGCAAGTCAAAAGCTAGGAATCCTGCAGTAAGCAGCTCCTGTTACACAAAACCTGTCCACCATCTACAAGTCCGGAGTGTGATGGAATACGCCCCACTTGCCTGGATGTTGCAGCTCTGACAACACCCGAGAGGCCTGACACCATCCAGGATAAAGCAGCCCGCCTGATTGGCGCCATGTCCACAAGCATCCGCTCCCTTCAAAACTGATGCTCAGTAGCATCAGTAAGTGTGTACCATATACAAGATGCATCAATTCACCAAGCCTCCTTAGATAGCACCTTCCAAACTTGGACTTCCATTTAGAAGGGCAAGGGCAGCAGATACATGGGAACACCGCCACCTGCAAGTTACCCTCTAAGCCACTCACCATCCAGACTTGGAAAGATCACTGTTCCTTCAGAGTCACCGAGTGAAAATCCTGGAATTGCCCCCAGAAATCCACTGTGGGTCTACCTACACCAAATGGAATGCAGCTGTTCAAGAAGGTAGCTCACTACCACCTTCAAAGGGCAATTAGGGATGGGCGATAAATGCTGACCCAGGCAGCAATACCTACATCCTATGAGTTAAGCATTTCAAAAGAACTTATAAAGTATGCATATTGAGAGCAAGAGGAAGGATCAGTGGAGTGGAAGGAATCAAACATGTATTGGATTTTCTGCCCAGTACAACTACTGTTCTCTAGTTTGTGTTTCCATCGAGTGAAACTCCACGATGGGGCAGAGGCTCTGAAAATTCAACCCACAGAACAGCACCATTGAGTGTGGAGATAAAACGCTGACTGTTGCTGGCGTGGATTAATTAAGGCCAGTTTGGACACATTTGTTAAAGGCAGATCATGTTTAATGAAATTTTGTCCTTTTTATCATGAGGTATCAGATGATTGGTGAAAGCATTGTGGTTGATATGGGTGCACATGGACCTTATCAAATGCCTTTTGAAGTGCCAAATAACAGGTTTGTCAGCAAAGTTAAAGCCCATGGAATAAAAGGGCGGCACAGGCCCAAAGCTGACCGAGAGACAGAAAACAGCAAGGGTGAAGAATTGTTTAAGGGAACCCCGCTGCGTACCGGGAGGATGGGCAGTACATGAACCACTTCTTTTCCATATTCATGTCCTAGACTCGACTGTGCAGGACACATTTCAAAAAACTGGCAAACGGCATAAACAATATTGTGAACTGTAAGTGTCAGTCTGGATTGAAGCAAGTCAAATGAAGCACAAATCAACACTTTCATTTGTTAGACAGAGAGTTTATTGACCACTCAGTCTTACAGCTGCATTCATTTCCCCTCACATTACAGGTACTCCCTACATAGATATACTCGGACAATTCATAACCATCGCCCATTTCTTCATAAATATCTTAAAAAGGCATTAACAAACAGGGTTATTACCATGATAATAACAACGAGGACAACGGTAATAACTTCAAAAGGACATGGTTGGTCTGGTGAAAGGAAGTTCATGTGGCAGATGAAATCTAATGCAGAACTGAAAGTCAGAATGAGGTTCGGGAAAATAAAAGGGGTACAGTTCTTAGGAGATGCAGGAGTCAAGAGTATTTCAGCAGAATTTGTTGAAGGGGGAAAGGCAGATTGAGAAAGTAGTTTAGAAAGATATACAATACCTACCCTTCATAAACAGGAGACGTAGAGCAAAACAAAGATGGTGAACCTTTATGAGTTCAGCCTTAATGGCATCCACCTCAGGGCTACAGGAAGGATTTAAAAGCCGTGGGACAGGTTGCAGAAAAGACTTATGAAAATGGTTGCAGGGTGACAGCACTCGGTTGTAGGGATACGTTGAAGAACCTAGGGGCTCTTTTTTATCCCAAATGAGAGAAAGCACGAGGTCGAGGTGAGATTTGACAGAGGAATGCAAAATCATTAATGGTAAGTACAGAGTGAATAGGAAGAAAGTGTCTTCATTGGCAGAGGGGTTGAGTAACACAGGGTAATGATTTGGAGGCAACATGAGAAGGTTCACTAGGCTGATAATGGGGATGGCGAGCGTGTCAGATGAGGAGAGTCCGATTCCAGTGGGCCTGAATTTACTCGGGTTTACAAGGATGAGGAGGGAGGTCTGACTTAAGCTATAATCTTTTAAACAGGGCTGGATAGACTAGATGCAGGGAGGATGTATGATGTTTCCCCCTGGTTTGGGGGCGGGAGTCTAGTATGAAGGAACACAGTCCCAGGATATGGGGTAGCCCATTTAGGATGGAGATGAGGAGAATTTCTTCAAATCGCAGGGTGGTTAAACTTGTGGAATTCACTGCGACAGAAAGCTGTGGAAGCCAAGTCACCGAATATATTTCAGAAAGCGATAGATGAGTTTTAAGATTTAAAAGGCAACGGGAGAAAGCTGAAAAGTGTTATTGAGACAGAGGTTCAGCCATAATCATGCTGAATGGCAGAGAAAACCTGACAGGCTGAATAGCCCGAACTAGGTTGTGTTTCTAGGAGGGAAAACAGTTGTGCGTGTGATTTGGAATGCACTGCCCGAGGGAGTAGTGGAGGTAGGTTCAATGGCGGCTTTTGAAAGAGAATGATAATTTTGTTTTGAAGAGAAATAAACTGCCGACCCCTACAGGTTTAAGGGCGGGAGAATGAGGTTAGCAGAGAGTCTCTCGCGGTGGGCATGATGGGCCAACGTTTGTCCTTCAAATGTTGCACTGCTCTGTCAGTGTATGATATCATTCCTATTAAAATAACAGAGCAGTCATAACGGAAAAAAAGACGGACTCCTGCTATGACTACGCAGGACAAAGTGCCCTCTAGTCTCGCTTAAGACCCATACATTTCCGCTCCTGTCTAGTTCTGGAGACTGCTAATTACATATCTCCATTACAGAATTCACAGTCTGAGATAGTGACCCCCTCAAACTTCTTTTGCCTGATGACAGCATAAATCTTCAAGCCTTTTCGCATGAACTGTTTAAAACACACAGTAACATTCTTATTTGTAATGCTACTCACATGCAGTCAATTAATATATCATTTATAAATATATTAAATATAAAGGGAGTAGGAGGAAAAATAACAAAAATCCCACTTTATAGAGCAACCTAACCAAAGTTTACAACTACATTGTAACAATGAGCAAGGCAAAACTATATAGGCAAAATTGACAATGCAATTCACAATGCTGTTGACAAAAATAGAACCAGAAGTCATGACAATGGGAAATTAGGTTTGTTGACTGGAATTTCACACTTTTTCTTTAGCAGGTTAACTTTCGCTTGCTTGTTGAACTCCCACAATGCTCCCATATTTCTCCGGTCTTCACCGTGTGTGTCTCCAGAACTGTTGTGAAAATCTAGTAACAGTGTTGAATGACTGGTTGCACACATTTTGCTTTCTCCTTTCAAAAAAAAACCCACCTCTTTCTATGTCAAGCTGCATACTAGGCGACTTGGCTCAGATTCAGAGCTTTCATGTAAGATTCATGAATGCAAGATACATCTGACCCTTATCAGCTCAGGAGCAGAAGCTGTTTTCTGGCTCTGGTTGATCCAATTGCAACTTCAACTCCCTGCTCCCATCTCTCCTTCAATAACCGTTTGACTTACTGGTTACTCAAGAACCTATTTCACTCCACCCTCGTGACCTGCCCCTTATCGCTCTCTGGAAAAAGACAGAGAGAGTGTTCCAGGAACTTCTGCACCTCAAAAAAAATAGGAAAAAAAAAAATTCTGTGTCTCTATCTCAAATGGCAGACTACTTTGAAAACAAGCCTCTGGTTCTAGTCTCTCCCACAAGGGGAGACATGCTCTCAATGTCCACCCACCCAGTCCACTCTGAATCTCTTAAGTCTCAAAAAGGATCGTTTCTCACTTATCTAAACTGCAATGGATACAGGCCCAACTTTTCCTTATTAGGATATCCTCTGATCCCAGATTAAATGTATATTATCTGCCAGTTCATCAATAACTTTAATTTATAAAAGTAACTCTCACCCAGAAAAATACCCCAGGAAACTCCAAAATGTAAACATTCTAAGACTGCAGAGCCTTGGAGAAGATGACTAAACGTTAGATCGGCCGGGGATGTATTCATTTAGGCCCTTATGCCGCCCCTTGGTACATAATCAAGTGACTCTCTGGGCCAATTCAGAGGGCAATAAAGACTCGACCACATTGCTGTGGGGCTGGAGTCACACACAGGCCAGACGGGGCGAGAATGGCTGATGGAAGCATATTAAAGGTTATGGGAGGAAATGGTAGGAAAGTGAAGTTGACGATTATCAGGTCAGCCATAATCTCAGCAAGTGGTGGAGCAGGCTTGAAGGGCTGAATGGCCTACTTCTGCTCCTGTGCCTTCCCTAAATGACATTGGTGACTCTGTGGTCATTATTATCGATACCAAGGCAGGCAGTGGTGTAATGTTAATGCCACCGGACTAGCAAACCAAAACCATTGTTCTCGAGTCCAGGGCATCATATAGTAGATGCCATGGCAGATGGTAAAACGTGAATTCAATGGAATCTGGAATAAAGAGATGGCCACAAAACCATTGCCGATTGTCGGAAAAGCCCATCTGATTCAGTAATGTCCTTTAGGGAAGGAAACTGAATGAATAAACAACCATAAATACCGACATTTTCAATCCCAGAAACGCAACTGGAATATAAAATTTCCCAGTTGCTGCTGGGGTATTTGAGCTCATGGATCCAGTTCATTCAACTGGCAGAGGATTTCAAAAAGGTGCCAAATTGGTAATATATAATACTTTGTGTATTCTAAACATTTAGTCAACCTTTCACTTCTGATGAGCTCATGTTCAATTTAGGCTTGATAAGCTGAAAGGAAGCATTCACATCGCAGCTTTTAGAGTCCAACTCATGGACTGGTTTTGAAAAATGACTGCACAGTAAACACATTTAAAGTTTCAAAGGCTTCGGTTGAAGCTGTGTAATCAAAGGCACGCCCCCCGCTTTAAGTCCCTTCTGTGCCACTCATATAGATGCCAACATACCAATGTCAGTGTCTTACCTCGCATTTTTGGGTCCAGCATTGCGTGATGTTATCCAACATTAATAATAATTAAAAAAAAAGGGCCTGGAGGAGGACTATAAACTTAAGATGATAGTTTCAGCAGCAAAACTGTAGTTTGGATCCATACACAATCGAGTTTTAGAAGAATGAGAGATGACTTTATTGAAACATTGGCAGGTTTCACAAGGTAGCTGTGGAGAGATTGGTTCCCCTTGGGAGAGAGGACATCATCTCAGAATAAGGGATCACCCATTTAAGAAATGTGAAGACATTTCTTCTCTGTGTAGTAAATTTATGAAATTCTTTATCACACAGTGGGTTGTTGAGGCTGGATGACTGAGTGTACTCAAGACTGAGGTAGAACGCTTTTTTAAAAAAAAAAAAATCAGTTAGGGAATGAGGGGTAATGAGAAAAGACAGGAAAGTGGAGAGAAGGATTATGAAATCAGCCATGATGTCAATGGATGGTGGAATAGACTTGGTGGGCCAAATGGCCTACTTATGCTCCTAAATCTTATGGTCATAAAAAAAAGCTATCAATTCAAAGAAATGCCTTTCATCTTCCTCAGCTATTAGAATCCAATTAGCTCAAATCTAATCTGCCCACAGTGCCATGTCTTCAGGAAGTGGGCAAGGTCAAACGCTCAAATAAAGAATGGAAGCCTCCTGCCACAACGATGTTTTGTTGTCAATATGTCATACACCAGGCTGAGTCACAAGGTGTTGTTGGTTCAAGTCCCACTCCGGTGATGTCAAGACAATAAGCAGAGAGGTGTTGGCTTCTTTTTTAAAAAAGGTAGTTAAGAGGTTCTCTGTTCTTTCAAGGTGGGTGTAAAAGATGCCAATGGCACTATTTCAAAGAGGAGCAGGCCCTGGCATCTAGGCTGATAGTTCTCCCCTCAATCAAACCTACAATGGCAGATTATTCAGTCACTATTGTCCTCCTGTCTACAGGAGCTTGCTGTGCACAAACTTTGCTGCCACATTTCCTACAGAAACTACACTTTGAAATCCTGGAAAGTGGTTGTTTAAAAAAAAAGTTGGTACATAACTCTCAAATCTTTGTTTCTCTTTTATTGCACGAGTCGGGCCCAATGTTTTGGGTGACAGGAGAACACTGCAAAATGGCTGGCATCAAAAAAATTCCCAACAGCAAGAACCTGTCTGTAAATTGTCACTCACTGCCAACTAAATGTGCTTTCACACTTTAAATGCAACACAGGCTGTCTGAGAAAACAACGCACCAGACAGGCTGTGGCCTGTTGTTTGAAGGTCAGAGGCATGGCACATTGCTGAGGAAATGTTACACCCACTCCCAACTAAGTTACAGCTTTTTTTAGATTCATTCGTGGGATGTGGGCATCACTGGCTGGGGTCACATTTATTGCCCATCCCCCCAATAGCCCAGGGGGCAGTTAAGAGTCAACCACATTGCTGTATCACATGTAGACCAGACCCGAGTAAGGAGTTTCGTAACCTAACGGGACATTAGTGAACCAGATGGGTTTTCCCCCCAACAATCAACAACAGAATCAAGGTCATCATTAGGCACTTAATACCAATTTTTTGTTGAATTCAATTCATCGGATTCCACCAATTGCCATGGCAGGATTCAGACTCAGGTCCCCCGAACATTGCCTGGGTCTCTGGATTAATAATCCAGCGATAATACCACTAGGCCATCACCTCAGTGTTCATGTGAAATTGTCTCCCAACTGGCAAGGAGCTTGTACCCATACCACTCCCATTAAAACACACCACCCCTCAATCCCCCACCCTCAGCAAGGGCACAAGAAATTATGCGAGGGGAAAAAAAAAGGGTAATTTCCAAAGTCGAATCCCTCACTTCTTTGCAACATCATGTATCATAACTTCTGGTGCAAAGTACGATCCCATCTGTTTAAATTCCATAACCTGTTGCAGCCACATTGACTTTCTGGACTCATGTCCACTCGGAAATTTTTTTTTTTGTGTGTAGTATCTGGGCATTTTCCTTCATTTTCCAGCTGCCAGCAACTTAAAAAGAACTGAACCTGGTGTACTACTAGCTCTCATTGACAATTTGTTTTCTCTTTGTTAACTTTTTCTTTGATAGGAAGCCAAATTGCTTATTCCAGTGCAGCAGGTTACAATGGAGGTCAGGTTGAGGCCAGCTCTGTAAACAGTATTGCAGAATATTTAAAGGCTCTTCATCACAGTCGAGTTAAATACTGGAAATACTGAGAAGCAGGAAGCCCCCTAGAGCCACGTGTTTTAAAATCTCGAGAATGATCGTGAGATCTTCTGTCTGCATCCTCTCAGCTCAGTTTCACATTGAAAGCCTACCCAAGAACAGTTAGATTATATAAAGAAAAAGGCAGCCTTTGTTTGAAGGTCAGAGGTGTGCCAGCAACATAGTTTTTTTTTGCTAAGAAAACTGCAGCCAGATCTGCAGGTATTTAAAATACGCATTTCAACAATTGGGAGAAGATAATGACACCGATTTGACGACACATTTTAATTTTCATGTGATAGGGAAAAATGTTACAAGAACCCTAATATTCGCCATTTTATCTCAAGATAAATTCTGAAATTAGATTTAGATCTTTGCAAGCTGGTGAAGTGCTAGAAATTTTGCACCATCCTCTCCCTCTCTCTAGCATTTGGAATAGTCAAACCAATTGCAAATGCACCAGGCTTGCTTCACTGTTGAAACCCAGCCGTGTGTCTAATTCTGTCTGAGGCTACAGTTTCCATTCATTGTATTACAACACGTGGAAGCGACTGAACCAGGGTGGGAATTAGATATAAATAAAAGGACGTACATAACGTTATTCTTTTCCTCCAACCCCCTTCACCCACCCTCCCCCCAACCAAAAAAAAGTGATAAAACATTCCTGTAAACGTGAAATAATTCCGCGCGCTGGAAATCATAAACTGTGACAATATCATGTTTAAATTTAACCAGCTGGCAAGCAAGGCGGAAAGACACGTACAAAAAGCATTCAGTTAAACAGTGGGGCTATTTTAAAAAAAAATACGGTAATCAGGTTCATTTTGGATATATTAATACTCCCACACATGCCATGTTTTTTTTAAATTAAAAAATTAAACAAAGGGCTATTACTAATTTTGAGATTTCTTTCCCCGAACGAAGGAATCAAACAATGAACAGCATTCCTTCTGCCTTTTTACACGGGAATATGACTGAGAATTAAATATTTTAAACACACAGAAATAAACAAGCACACGAGGGCTAAAATTTACTAACGGTGGAGGGGACTTCAGTTTTAAACGTGAGGCGTTGTCTCTGCAATGAAACAGTCTAGGATCAATGAGTGTCTAAATCGTTGGAAGGCTCACTCACTCTTTCCGGAGCTTCATCCACAGGGATTAAAAAAAAATAAAACATTCCCAACTCACCTCCTCCATGCATTTGACACAAGTAGGGAAAACGCCACACGTTGCCCAGTCCCACTGCAAAGGAGATGCAGGCGAATACAAACTGCAAAGGATTGTCCCATGATGGTCTCACCTCCTCCATGTCTACACTGCACTATGCCTCTCTGAGCTTGCCGTCAGCTGTCTTAAACGCTACTGGGTCAGTACAAAGTTGTGAAAGGACAACCTCCAGGAATTTATCACTGGCCAGAGAGGGAAAAAAAAACAAATCAGCTGTTTAATTTTTAATCTTATTAACCACGACAACTGTAAAACAATTCGGGGGGAAAACAGAGTCTCCCTCTCTCTCTCTACACCAACTACTCAGGGGCAGTGAGGACAAAGCAAAATTTCCCCGAGGGTGCCTCCTGGTAATGATGGAGCTGTGGAAGGGGACGCAGTTTCTGAGCTGGGGGAAACTGAATGTAGCAGTCGAAGCGTGCAGTTACATTTGGTAATGCGTCACAAAATGGTGCTGACCCAATAACGTTTCTGCCAAGATTTGATGTAACTATTGCCAATGAATGTATTCATTTGGGAGTATATAGCATAGGCAGATAGATGCTTCGATGAACTGTACTGTATGTAGTCCTTATGGTTTCATGGAATTTGGTTACAAGTTTGCAACCTTGGTCTGACAAAAAGGGCTACATTGAACCAGATTTAATCCCCAGTCGTGTTCGTTAGGAGCTAGGGCAGTAATCTTGCGTTTTTATCACATCTGCCTGTTGCGGTAGTCGGCGAAGCACCACAATTTAAAAAAATCTTACATAAAATTTGTATTGAAACATTCTCAAAGTTCAAACCATTACCCCTTTCCATGTGAATAGTTATAGGAAACAGACAGATAGCAAGGTGAATTAACACTTTTAGGTGATCCCCCCATATAAACATGCTTTGAAAACTGAAAAGAGCTGGAATTTGTGTTTATATAGTATCTTATTAATATGTCTTTAGTCACTGCAATGTGTACATTGGCCTAGCCACTGTTGCAATGGACGAATAATACCAAAACTGCGTGAATAATACCAAACCTGCATATACATGATAGGCTGGGGAAACTGCTATAGGCATACAACAGCGCCAAGATATTGTTAACTTATTTGCGGTTATTAAATGTTAAATACACTCATATCTTTGGTCTTCGAAAATATATTTCTGAATATTTTAAAATTGACTTCATGGGGATCATTTCTCAACTTTGACTTGGTTTATTTATGTTATACACTATCCAGATAAAGGGATCGTTAGCTGGATGGCTGGTTCGCAATGCCAACAGTGTGGGTACAATCCCCATACTGGCTGAGGATACCATGGA